TTTTCAAAAAATCAACTCTGGAATTTTCGGTTAAAATTGGCAAATTTTCGCAAGAATTTTTCCACTTCATTGAGTTCTCTGTTTGGAATTGATTTAGGGGGAAAAAGTTCGACCTTCTTTGCAGAAATCTCAGGAGAATACAGATTAGTTTCCTCATCAAACTGAAAACAGGCACACACTCATGTGTTCTAATCAGTATTCTTGCAACGCTCAATTTCTACGAAATGTTACATTAAATATGAGCATTTAATCGACGCCTCTTCAATCGTGAGCATCCCTGTTACACTAAATATGAGCTCGAATGCTTAAAAGACCCAGTTTCGGGCTTAAATTTATTGGTTCCTCAAACAGATCGCAACGTTTTGTGTTTTTTTTTGGCTGTAATAAAGCTATCAATGAGATGAATTTGTAATCTAATTGCAATCTAGCAAACCATTTAGATCCGATTCAATTGCAATTTCCAGTGGAAATTTATGAGGAGGATTCATTGAGATTCATTTCATTTGTTCGTGGCTCAAATTACATATTTCAACAAGAACGGTTTGCAACGAAATATTTCACTTATTTCCTCTAATCCATACGATAATTATCCGATGCATTTCACCATAGCTACGAGACGTCAACAACATTCTCATTTTTCTTCATCTAAGTATTCACATTCATCTACATCCAAGTAGCACAATGAATCGAACATAGTTGATTCCGAAAAATAGTCATAGTTTAAATGTCATAGTTTATTCATTCTCGTGATTATTTCGTTCGAATTACAAGAAACTTTAAAAAGAACATCCGATAGGTCTGTGAATACGAAAAATACAATCATTTAACTATAAACCTATCAATGTAGCCGAATATTTAAACATTGGTGAGGAAATTAAAGCAGTTCTTCTTGAATAATCATCACTTTAAAAATTTTGATTATTCAGAACAGCTTTTAAACCATTCCTAAATTTATTTTCAAACTCGTCAAAATCCTTCGGATAGTTTCGATGAAGGTACGAAACCGAGATTGCCAATGCTTAGTGCGAACACAGAACGTTGATAATGATACCTCGTGAACTAGTTGTCAAACGTCGGTCGGCGCTAAGTCTGGATAGCGACTGATGTGCTCGAGACAGCCAACTTTTACGGATTTGTCGACCATCCTTACTCATCCGTCTTGGTACGGATTGTGATCGGTGTCCATTTTTATCAGAATGCATCGGGTGATCAGTCACACTCAAATAATCCATTGAATGTGCTCCTTGCATGTAGGATTTGGGCCGAGGCAATAAGTATGCAGTCGCACTTGTTACTGTTGTGGTTTGTGTCTCATCCTCTTCTGGTGGTATTTCCAAAATAATACCATCCTCGCTTTGCAATAGAATACGAGTCACAGGATCGTTCATCATCTTCACAATCAAGTTTCCGATGACAAATGGCCGTGAACAACACCAATATATTAGTTACCGTTCAGTCGGTGCTAGTACGTATAGAT